AGACTCTGTGCAGGAAGCAGCATCATGGGAATGGCCTGCGTTTCACTCGCCACCATCAGGAAGTTGAACCAGACGGTTCGGCAGCAGCTCTGGTGTCGGATCAAAGTCTGCTGATAGCTGCTGGTTGCTGCTCCTTCATCTGCTGAACTCCAGCACTGACCTACTCACAGCCAGACACTCTGGGTTTTCTCTCTAACCCCGAGGACGATCATTTATCCAATTTATTTCAAATCACGGCGGCGCAGCGCTGCGGAGGCCCGGAGCGGTGAGATCATGTAGTTTGCGCTGCTCCCTCTGAGATAAATAAAGGGCGTCACTTTTATTTTCTCAGCGAGCTTCGAGCAGCCTCCTCTCACTCCGGGTTTAAAGTCAGATATATCAAATGCCAGACCACCAGAAGTTAGACAACAAAGGAACTTTTCACAGCCTCTAGTTAAGCGAGGCAGGAGTTACAGCAGTGATAAACCTTTTGGCAGCGCGAGCCTCCCCTTCAGCAGCAACACTGCAGACAAACATAAACACCAAATCAAGACTTTAAACATTTCTGCTGTGAAGTCTGAACCAATAAAACAGACGTGACGTGTGATTTTGAAGTAAATCATGCACTATAAATGCATAATGTAGGATTCTGGTGTTCTTGGGTGTGAGATTTGTTCTTTGAATTCAGTTTTATATGTTTTTGAGTTTGTGGTGGATCGAAAAGTTTCAAGACTGTCCTTTGTGAATGTACACCAACTCAATAGTAGGGATGTCCTGATCTTGATGCTGATGTCGGGACTGAAGCAGATAAAGACACTAGTATTAACCTAAACTGAAGGGTGTTGTGAACTTATAAAACATTCTCAGCTAATGCAACATTACCAAATAGGAGGTAATTAATCTGTATTTCAAATTGAGTCCACTGGACGTTCATCCTGTGCTGATTTTGATATTTTAAGCCATAAACATGTGACGCAGTCTGTCAAGGCTGTTGAATTCAGGAATACAGATTTAACACATATACTCTTGCTGGAAGTCATTAAACACCACATAAGTCTTTGTCATGATGCCCCGTTACTAGCTAAACCCCATCAATGCTCTGTGCTGGTAAACATGGAACTGCCTCCTTTGGTCTCTACAGTAAGAGGCTCCACCTGGTGGTGCAACCAGATACTACAGCTGAGGTACAACACTTAAAGTGTCAAGAAAAATGGTGTCGGATTGGGATTTGATATGAAAGTTTAAATGGTGTGCCAAAAAACTGCAGTAATGCTAATGGAAGATGGTCCTGCATTGAAAAAAAAATGCTCGATACAACCAAAAATATGATTTTTACACTTCAACTTTGCACTTATTATACAAGGAATAGACAGAATTGTGTAAAATAGCAAATAGCACTTGTATGTAGGCCAGGTTGGTCCTTTCCTTCTGTTTTGAGTCTTTATGCTGAACTAAGCAAAGCATCTTCTTGTACGTAGTCGCACACAGTCTGACCGTTCTCTACACCACCGTGTTAGCAATGTAAACTGCACCCCATTATCGTTCTGCTGTCGAGGAAAAGGAAAAAAAAATGCATGGCTTGTTTGCATTTCTTTAAATCAACCACAATCGACTCGGGTGGTGCTAAGCCCAGGATGCAGCAACGGTGCCCCATCAAAACAGCGATGGGGGAACTGCTCTGGTGGAACATTCGCATGCAGAGAGGCGAGCTCTAGAAGATGAGCAGGGCTGCCTTATAATCTTTATCAACACTTTGTGGCGTGTAGGTTGCTGTTCATAGGTTGTTTCCTGTAGTGAAGTGGATTTTAACAAACGGTAGAACACACTGAAATGTGAAGAGAAGTTGAAAGACTGAATACCCAAAGTCAACATCAGATGAGTCAGACTAGGTTGCCAGTGGTGGAAGAAGCTTTGTTGATTTTTTTACTCAAAAGTACCAATAAAAAAAAACCTCTATCAGAAGTAAAAGTCCTGGTTTGATCCCTTTGACTGATGTGTTATTATAATATTAACAGTGAAGCATCGGTGCAGGTTGCTGATGGAGGTTTGAACTACTTTTTATCCAGTTTTGTATTCAGGGACCAAATCTGTTATCAGTTTTTTTTCCTAATCTTTAATTTTTTGCTAAGATATTGGACCATTTGAAGATTTAATGAAATGAAACCGTGTGAGAAGTTTGGAGGGTGAAACAAATCCCTGTTTGGTGGATCTGTTAACAACTCACAACATCTGAAAAGTGATGTTTTTGTAAGAAGCCAAAAAACACTGGAAAGCCCATCAAATTGTCAAAGACTGTGTAAAAACTTTAAAACGCTGTCCAATAAATGCAATGGAATATAAAATGGAAATACTTAAGTACAAGAATCTCAAGTACCAAAAGGAGACGAGATCTTCTGAGTCTCAGCAAGCAAAGAAACTTCTAGAAAAGGTTGAACTGTTCCTTTAATTTTCAAACTAGTGAGAAGATTTAAGCCAACAAAAATTAATCCAATCTGATCTCTGAAGGCCAAATATCTCAGCTCCTGGCAGAGTGATTAGTGAGTCATATGATACTCATCAGAACCACTATCAGCACCTGCAGATGGATTCTGGGAGGCTAATAAGAACCTCATTGTTTCATTAATTAGGGGGCTGGACGGCTGCTTCGCTCACTCATTCTTTCCAAACCAGCATTTTGTGCAACAAGAAAAGCCTCCTCACCGTCATCCAGGTACATCTGGTCCAGCTCCTGCGGCTCCTGTTTGATGCTGACGGCGAGCGTCGGCGGCGAGGACCGACCCCTCTCCGCCGCCTTGGGGTGCTGCTGGGCCCCGGGGCTGGAGCTGCCGGGCTGGGCCGGGGTCAGGCAGTGGGTCGGGGAGAAGGGGGCGTCGGTCGGGGTGGACGGCTGCGAGGTCGGGGAGGACGAGGAGCTGCTGGGCGGGTACAGGCCCGGCGGCTGGTAGCGCCCCGGGGCCTCCTGGATGATGGAGACGTGGGGGGCGGGCGACTGGGGGAGCACCGGGCCCGAGGGGAGGCACTTGGAGAAGGGCGGCGGCGAGAGGTCGTGCAGCTTGGGGCTGGCGCTCGGACTGGAGGACGGTTTGGCCGGCAGTCGCTGCTGGCCGACGGAGAACGGGCCGACGCACGCCCGCAGCTCGGAGGGCATCATGGGGGTCACGACCGGCGGCGGGTAGAAGGGCTTGGGGTGCAGCGCCAGGCCGGAGCCGGTGCACACCAGAGGGGCGTCGTAGTCGTCGTGAGGCTCCGTCTTTATTGTCGGAACTGAGCGGAAAAGGAGGGAAAATGAGTAAACACATATTCCTGCAAGTGTGAGTGGGTTTGTGGCTAGGATACCCGCCGCCAAACAAACACTCGCATCAATGAGTCTCTGTTTCAGGCCGGAGCTCCCCCACCCTGCTGAAAATATTCACAAAAGCAAAGCAGAAAAAAAGAAAGAAGAAAAAAAAGGAGGGATGACTCATCAACACGAGAAAAATCTGGCCGCTTCTATAATAAAAGGCCTGTTTTCTTTGGGTCCCGCTGAACGTGTCATGTGAAATATGTTGCAGCGGCTGCAGCTTCGGGCTCAGCAGGGTTCAGCAATTTCAAATAAATTACTGCTGCTCGCTGAGACTTCTTTAGGTTGTTTGAGGACCACATAAGCGAGGACCAACGCTGAGTTCAAACGAGGCGGGACTTGTTCTCGGTCGCTTAGATTCTGGCCGACCGTCCGGATTCCGCGGCGAAACATGTTGGACATCGAGTTTTAAATCCATCAATCGGCTGCACGACATCAATCTTATATAACAAGCGCTCGGGCCCAGTTACAAGCAGACGACCTTCATCGCTGCGCTGGGTCTCGTTTTCTTGGTTAAAACATGAAGCATGTGCTTGAAACCGAAGCGAATTAGTCATACTTCAGTCTCCAAATGTTCTCTACTGATGCAAACTGTATCTGCACCGTTTCTTCTTTTTGTTTGTTTCATCAGCCTGTCTCTTTAAAAAAAAAAAAAAGAAGATATTTTTGGGTGTCCCCGCCTAAATAAAACAGCTAATTAGACTAGAAGGAGTGAAACTAGGACGCGTCAGGCCTCGATGAAGCCTCCGCTGTCAACAACTGTAAAAAAGAGGAACTGCGACGAGATGGTTGCGCCGACCGCAGGACCGAAATAGAAAGCGCGCCACTATTTCGGGCCCGTTTGGAGGAAGTGTGTCTGTCTGCCCGTGGAGGATACGAAGATGCAGAAACCCAGCGAGGAGAAGTGCAAATGTTTGAGCTCGTCGGGTTTCCGGAGCGTGAAACCGTTTGTCCCAAAAATAAATCTGTTGTGTTTCTGTCAGATGTTGAAACAACAGAAAGGTTAGCAGCAAAAAAAAGGTGTTTGTCTTTTACATGACAAAAGGAGGAAGTGAATGTGTTTATACTCGTTATGATGTGAAGGTTTAATCATCACCTCCACCTGTTTTCACTCAGTCTGTTCAGTGATTTAACCCCAAGCAGTTTACGTGGTTTGTTGTTCGCATTTTTACTCACTGTGAGCTCAAAAACATAAAAAAAGTCCACACAAACACGACTAGATGTAGACAAAACTCAGAAAAGTAGTTTTTTGTACAATATGAGACAGTCTTGATCCCAATTTTAACCAATTTTGGGGGAAACAAGAAGATATTTTACTACTTCCAGGTTTATTTTGTGTTCATGCTCCTCTCTGCTCTGCCTGCAGTTCAGTCGAACAGTCGCTGAATTTTCGTCACATGACTTTTGATTGCAGTTGAGTCACTAATGACGTCTCGGTTACACTTGAGCTGCACAGAATTTTTTGTTTTTTACAGAATCAGGTGAACGATTTATTTTTGGCAAATTTTTTAAAAAAGTTGCAAACACAATAATTATTTCTGGTTTTACGGTTTCTTTGATGAATGAGGCATGAAGTTTAAAGAGGTTTGGGTCAAACGTCATCATTTTAAGCTGGAATTGTGGTAATTTTTCATACAGAGCTGCACGTCAGAAGAAAAGTAGTCAATAGTTCTTTCTAGTTTTACCATTTCTGGCTGATAAATAATCAAATGTTGGCAAATATTTAAACGATGCAGGTAGAATGAAGGGATTTTGATGGAATAACACAATTTTTAACTTTCCAAAGGAACCTCACGTCACAGACAACTCCTTCAAAGACCATCGGAAAGTTACAAATCTGAATATTTTTCTTCTTTACTGTGATAAATTGTGTCATTTTGGCTGTTTTTTAAAAAAAAAACGAAACTTGGATAAACTTCCGTTTTAAGTTTAGATTTGGTTAATTATCTGGATGGAACTGCGCTTCACAGATGAGCAGTTCAAGGATCGCTGGAAAACCCCGTAAATATTTGTTATTCGTTTATGCAGTTTCTTTCTTTGATAAGCCGAGTACTTTGGGTGACTATTTATTATATTAAATAATTTTTTGGATTGAACTGAACGCACACAGATGAGCAGTTCAAGGACCATCAGAAAGTAGTTTTGGGGAGTTTTTTGTTTTGTTTTTTTAATGAGACAAGCAGAATAAAGTGTTTTTTTAAAAAAAGAAATATCATAATTCAAAATTCAGATTTGGTTAATTATCCTGATGGAACAGAACGTCACAGAAGAGTAGTTCAAGGACAGTTGGAAAGTTAAAAATTAAATAAATATTCTTGTTTATGCAATTTCTTTCTATGATTAACAGTAATTTCAGCAAATTGGACAAGCAGAATAAAATGTTTTTTAAAAGAAATATCATTATTTAAAAGTTAGATTTGGTTAATTTTCCTGGTGGAACAGCACATCACAGATGAGTAGTTCAAGGACCCTCGGAAAGTTAAAAATCCAGTGATTTTTCTTGCTTTAACACTTTCTTTCTCTTACAGTGTAATTTTAGTGATTTTTTTCTTTTTACGCCCTTTCAAACCCGTCAGCAGGTTTCGGGGTCCAGAGGGTTAAACTTCCTCTTTTTATTGGAGGCTCTCGGGTCGTATTGTCGAGCCTGCAGACTGTCACCCTTCAGGAGACACCGACCACACTCCCTCCCCTTCGCTCTGCACTCTGAGGACAATGCTCCACTTTCACGGCGGGGCACTCCGTCGCCCACGTACTGGGCCGGGCCGCTGCAGCTGAATCGCAGCTTTGAACCACCCACTGGATTTTCGCTCCAGGCCTGGAGTGCAATTAGCAGCGGTTTTTTTACATTTCAGTTGGTGGGTCAGTGTTTATATTTAGCTTGGCAGTGGGTCCTCTATTCAAACAACATGCTTTTCCCATGCCCCTTTCCCCACCCGGGTGCGTCCAGTCGCTGCAGCGCTCAGGTACGGAAAAGAACACATTTTATGGATTTTCTTTTTTTACAATGGAGGAATAATAGCGTTGCTTTGTTCCTCCCTTGCAAACCACCAGACAAGGGGGAATACAAACTGTTTGTTCTGGTCGTCAGATGTAAAACGCTGGCGAAAATGTTTCTAATTAGTCTGGGATATGAAAGGCAGAGTGCAGACTGAGAGCAGGGAGGCGATGGAGGGTGGAGGTTAATGGACGGAGAGTTTTTTGTATTTTGCGGCAGAATTGGTTTGACTGCTTGTCTATGAAACTCGCTGGGGACAGTTTTCGGGTTTACCGAATGTCAGACCGACACCAAACTCTAATGAAAGCGGTTGTTTGTTGGTTATTAACATGACAACAGGATTATTTATGATGCACAACGCTGAGGTTCACACCAGTACGTTCTCGGTTTTACTTGTACGCCAAACGTCCACACGACTTCAGAGTTCTGGGACTCCCTAAACGGAGACTTTAGGAAACACTGCTAACCCTGTTTTAGACTGGAAGGTCAGAAACGGAGACTTTTAGAAAGAGTCTGTTTACTTCCAGACTGATCCTCATTTGTTCCTCGATTTCTTCAAACTGTTTTCTGCAGAGTAACAAAGACATCAGCCTTAATTCGAGGCTGTATATTAAATTTCATTTACCGAGTTGTGCAAGTCAGGAAATCTCTAACTTTTAGCCAACGCTGCTCCTCCTCTGTAATATTCTCTAGAACTAAACAACCAAACCCTAGAGTCATGTTTATTCTGGCACCCACATGCCCACTATTTGTTCATGAGTTTTTTAGGCACAGAGCTCATTTCTGACGCTGTGCTGAAAGTCTGGACGTTGATCGTTTTTACTTCAAAACCGTCAGAAATTTTTGACAGATGAAGAACAAACAACAGCTGTTGTATCCACGCCTCAGCCACTGAAGCCTGTAACTCCTTCAGAGGAGTCATAGGTGTCTTAGTGGCCTCCCTCACTAGTCTCCTTCTTGTATCTCCTTCAAAAGGGTCATAGGAGTCTTGGTGGCCTCCTTCACTAGTCTCCTTCTAGTATCTCCTTCAGAGGAGTCACAGGTGTCTTGGTGGCCATGCAAGAAGGAGACAAGTGAAGGAGGCCACCAAGACTCCTATGACTCCTCTGAAGGAGTTACTAGAAGGAGACTAGTGAAGGAGGCCACCAAGACTCCTATGACTCCTCTGAAGGAGTTACTAGAAGGAGACTAGTGAAGGACGCCACTAACACACGTATGACTGCTCTGAAGGAGGTACAGGCTTCACCAGACAGCTCTTGTTTCCTATAGTTTAGCCTCTTAATACACAAATGGTGACTAAGACTTGCTTTTTTAAAATGTTTTTGCGTCCTTCTTCCCTTTTATTTCTCGTATTCATTTTATTCTACTTGACTAATTGCATTTTTTTTTTCAATTTTGATTTTCTAGCATCATTTTTTAATCATTCCGTCCTTCATATTTCAGCTGTTGTTCACTTGACATTCATGACAGTGAAGCACGTTGACTTGAATTGAAATAAATTCAATTCAACTAAACTGAAACTGAACAGAACTGAATTGAATTAAATCAACTCCCCGTTGAGTCGAGCCCTCAGTGAGTTAACATATAGCAGGAGAGGTTTACCGCTGGCAGGGACGTAGGTGAAGCGCTGGTACTGGCTTCTTTTCCTTTTGCCGTTGCAGACGTAGAAGTTGACGTGGACGGGAGTGGAGAGCCTTTGGTTCCGGTAGGGAGGGACTTCCACCAGGAGCGAGTTCTGCAACGTGGACAAAAACAAAACACCCTGGATGTGTTTCTGTTCTCTGATAATTCACCAGAGAAACTTTAACAATGTGCATTCTGGGTAAACGTTCCAGGCTCGTATCAGCCTGCGTGATGTGGAGCCACTTCTTTGTACTTCAAGGGCCTGAAACTCTGAAATATTCAGAGTACGAAGGTAAAACTTTGCATGGCTTCATTAAATACATAAAGAGATCAGATGGGAGGAACTTCTCCTCCTTCCTGGTCAGTTTTGGGATATTTTCCTTGCATGTCTTGTTTTAGACTAACGGAAAGACAACTTCCACATTTAGGGGTTTATTTTTGCCAAACCTTTCTCTGACTTTTATGCAAATTAGTGCACATTTAATAAGATAATACGTCGCTTGCATGACCGAACAGAACATTTCAGAAAACGAGTAACCGTCTTAATGTAAGTAGTCGACTCGGGAAGTTTCATTCATTCATCTTCCACTTAATGAATCAGATGAACCACGACAGTTAAAGGAGGCAGAGTTGTGTTTGCAAACAGTCAATCCACAACAAATCCTGTGATTTCATTGGTTTATTTTGTTTTTGCTGTTGGTTTGTTGCAGTTGTTGTTTGCCCTTCAGTTGGCAGTGATCCCTGAATCCATTGTGTCGAGGTTCTGTCTTCATTCAGCAGCTCAACGACATCCAGATTGTACTTTCCATAAAACTCAAAACCCGCAGTAACAGATAAAAATCTAAAAAAATCTGGTTGTTATCCTGAAGGAAGGAGCCACAGAGAGACCGTGAAGCGAGGTTACAGAGGAGCCCGGTTGTTTGCACAATGAATAGCTCAGCTGACATGAATAAACGCAGCTCCAGATAGTTTATTTCCCTCAGCAGAGCGACCTGCTGGGAGCGAAGGCCGGCGCCGGCCGCCATGTTCTGGGTTCAGCCCGTGGACACGTCGGCTCCAGGTGTGTGCTTCTGCACATGTGTGGATCAGAGGAGGCGCTGCTCGGTAGCGAAGGAGGAAGTCATCCGTCTGCAGAACCGAGCTTCGGAGGGCGTCCGGCCTCGACGAGCTCAGGTAGGAGCTGATCCATTAAATCAGGAGAGACGAGTGGAGCCAGACGAGGCTTTTCAGTCACACGGTTAGCTGATAAAAACGCTAACGTCAGGAATATCTCACTCAAGCTTGTCTTTAAACACGCAAAAGAAGTCGTTTGCTCAGTTGTGTTGGTTTTACGTGCACGTTGCACAAAGTAAAGTCATGTGAATCCGCTGTGGACTGAACGGATCTTTGATTTGAGTAAAACACCGACATGACGCTCCTGTACAGCTACACAGCAACCTCATTCACCACTCTGAAGGAAACACATCTTCTCTGGTAAAACTAGGAAAGGTGGAAACATGGGAACATGAGTCAGCGATAATCAGAGATACCGTAAAGTCCAGACTATTGAGGCACCTGAATATCAGCCACACCCACTAACTTTAAAAAGAAAACCAGGTGTGTACTTATACAGGCTGCTCTGGTCTCTGAGCTGCAGGTGTCCACGTTGGAACATGAGATATTTACACAGAAAGATGTTTTAAACTTTTAACTAAATACATAGCGGTAACATACACAAATATGTAGCTGCTTTTTTCTGAACAGTTCCTGTAACACGGCTGGTTAAGAAAATAAAACTCCAGCAGCTACCAGGAAAAGTCATTGATCGCTATCTTCATCTTCCTCCTGCACTAAAACCACTAAAGTCGTCTTCTTCAGTGTCTTCAGGAGCTGAACAGCCTCAGAATCACTTCGTCACTTCCTCAGACTCTCTGTCGCTCTCAGCGTCACTTTGGTCTCGAGGTGAATTCGTAAAAATCCATAAATTAGCCGCATCGTTGTTTAAGCTGCAGAGTTCAAAGTGTGTTAAAAAAGTAGCGGCTTGTAGTCCAGACATTACGGTAATTGTTCTTTAATTTAGTGTTAGTAGGTTGTCTGGATTTATGAAAATATCACGAAATCATCAGAATATGTCAGTTTGTGTTACGAATCTACAACACTTTTGAAGCTTCTCCTTCATTGACGGGGTTACGACGGCAACACGTCTCATCTGATACGATCGGTTGGTGGAACGACGATGAAGCAACAAGCAAATAGCATCGAAATATGGCTGCACAGCGTTGTTTTAAAAAAAAAGTGACGCTGTGATATTTCAACTTACTGCAAAATAAAATAAAATACAGGAAGTGTTGGAAAATGAAGGCGTGCATCTGCAAAAAAAACCCAACAAACAATAAAGAGGACCAAAGCGCTGCTGCTTTGGATGGTATTCAGACCTGTCTTTGCACTATTTAAATGATTTAAATGGTCGTGTTGTTTCAAGTGACCTGGTTTTGTTCAACATCATCCTTTTTGCAGCTGAAACTCTTCCACTCTTGTGTTTCTCTATGAAACCAAATCTGACTTTTTACTGTTTCTCTCCTGTTTTTTCACTCACTTTTCTGTGCACATGTGGAGTTTGCATGTCGATAAACGGTGTGTCTTTTAAATAAAGTTAAAAAAAACTTTAAAGAAGCCTTAAATCTGAGTAAATGTTTATATCAGGCTTCTCTTGCAGGTTAGTTCTGGAAAATGAGAACCGTTTTCTATGTTGTAGTCGAGCACGTCGCAGTGTCGATGCTGCCCTGATGTGAAGCGTGTTCGTGATACACGACGAACAAATTTAATGAAGCAGAAAACATATTTCCATTAAAACCTACTTGAGAAGTTGTACAGGGATGTCATTCTGACTGCATCTCGTTCTCCCAGCAGAAGTGATTTCTGAAAACTGTGACGAATCGAGCACAAACGAGCAATCTGTGTGTAATTCTAAGTAATTCCCAAACTTAAAATCGAATCCCTCGCCTCCACAATCTGCGCTCTTTCTGGGGAGCTGTGCAGGTGAGGTATCGTCCGTTAGTGGTTAATCTGAGCGTCGGTGTTTAAAGTGGGACCGATCCAGCAGACAGTGTTTTATTGTTGGATCGAGGAAGGAGCTTCTTTGTGCGCTCCAGCAGACAGATGTGTCCCAGCAGCCACTGCATGGATGTGTGTTTTAGAAACAGAGTGTTTCAGTGTTGTCTGCAGTGGGAAACCCTGGGAGCAGGTGCAGAGCTTCACATACAGACTAATCCCTCGACTGTCTCCCAGACTGGGTCTCTCAGCTGTTGCAGAACACGACGGGACATTCTGCCAAGTTCAGGCTCCCACAGCTACGAGGATGAACTTCTGAACACCTTTTCTACACGTTTTAAACAAAACGCTGCTGCTTCTTAACCTGAACTCTCCGGCCTCCAGCTGAGGAAATCCACAGTTACTGCTCTGTATTTTACATCAGTGTGCAAAGCTAAGCTAAAAGGCTATCCACCCATTATCTATACACCACTTAATCCTCACTAGGGTCGTGGGGGGCTGGAGTCTATCCCAGCTGACTCAGGGTGAAGGCAGGTTCACCTGGACAGGTCACCAGTCTATCACAGGGCTACACTTAGAGACAGACAACCAAGCACACTCACATTCACACCTACGGACAATTTAGAATCACCAATTAACCTCAACATGTTTCTGGACTGTGTGGGAGGAAGCCGGAGAACCCGGAGAGAACCCACGCTGCACGGGGAGAACATGGAGACTCCACACAGAAAGATCCTGGGTGTCCTCACCGGCGACCTTCTTGCTGCGAAGCAACAGTGCTACCCACCGAGCCACCTTGCAGCCCGCTAAAAGGCCATTTACTTTATATTTAGCATGCAAACATGAAAGCTCCGTCCTTTGTTTACGTCCACTGCTACACAGGCGAGCGCACAACTTGTGGCCAGACGTTAGCGACGCAATTTTTGACGAATTCACCAACAACAATCCAGCTCTTCCCTGTGCTGATTTTTAGTTTTCATCAAAAGACACATGATTTAGCAGCTGTTACACGTACCACTGACATTTAAAAACATTGCTCAAGTATCCCGGCTTGTCTCAAACACCTTGAGTTTTGGTTGGAGGCCATTGAGCATCACAGAAGTCTTTGTCATGGTGCCTGTTGCTCGCTAAACCCCCACAATGTGCTCTGGTTACCGATATGAACCGTTTCAAACAACTATTACAAGCTTATCTCAAACTCATCAGCTTCAGACAGGGATCTCCAACTGAGCTACTGTCCTGCAGGTTTTAGATGTTTCCATACTGCAGCACACCTGACTCACATGAATGGATCTCCAGCAGCTTGTTGTCAAGTTCTACACAAGTCTGTTAATGATGCATTAATCTGAGTCAGGTGTGCTGCAGTAACATCTGAAACCTGCAGGACCGGAGCTGGAGATCCCTGCTTTAGACGGAGGTCATTAACTGTCATGGAAGTCTTTGTTATGGTACCCAACGCTGGCTAAATCTGCACAATGCTGAACTAAATCCAATAGTGTCCTACTGGAGCTTCACAGTGAGGTTTACAACCCCCTACGTAACAGATTGGATGCAGTAATGCGGTTTTATCCCGATTTTAATCAACTTTAATGTACGTGAAGTGTGCATTATCTGGGAACAACAGCACGGGATTGGGGCTTGGTGTTGGGTGAATGGTAATTGATTTGGACTGGATCAGGGCCATGGCTATTAAAAGGACAATGACTGGAGTTTGTTCACTCTCAGCTCACTTGATTTAGATGTTTGTTTCTGAAGATGAAACGTTTTGAAGCTCAGTTCAGTTTGATGATTGAGAACAGCTGCTTTAACCATCAAATGGGACCAGAGCTGATCGTTGTGTCACTGACAGGCTTCGCTGTCCGATGTTCACACGTACTGGTTCTGGCAGGAACGCTTGTTTCAATCTGGACCAAAGCAATGGGGAACTTTGCTCCTAATATTGTAATATTAAACCATATTTAGACCATGCTTGTATCTGGAAACAGTCAGTGTCAATACTCTCTGTTTTGTTTTCCAACACTGTCAGTTATCCTGTGAAAATAAATTACAGTGTGTTAGCTGAAGAATAAACACAAACAGGATTTTCATGTAATTCTGGGTAATTTCACCCTTTCTCAGGTAACAAATTTGCACATTTCTGCCTATTTCTATGACTTTTATGATACTTTGGATTAGCTGAGCTTGCTTCCTTTCTGTCTGTTTGACTTGTTTTGTTTCTCACTGCTCCTCTCTGTGTGGTTGCTTTAAGTCACTGAACACACGTTTTATTTCCAACATGTTTGGACATCATGAGGCCATAACCCGGCCCTTTATTTTAAAAAAAAGTAACATAAAGATCGGAGAAAGGCAGAAACAGCAGCTTGGCTCAGGCTGAAAGCAACAGAATCCTCCAAGCAGGACCTCTAAAGTTTATGTGCTGGACTTTTTCTTGGCCATGAGCGGTGATTTTATGGAGTCTTGTCATCACTAATCCAAAAAGCAAAGAGGTGGAGCGTGAGGGGAGCTGAGGTCGGCCATGCGAACCTCCCTGCACCATGACGGCGCTCACCTGTCATTCAAAATCACCTTAATTATGCACAACTTTAATACAATTTAAACAGCTGAGTTATGTTAAAACTCTCACCTGTGTAGTTGTTGTTAAAGAGAGCAAAACCACTTTTTGTACCTGGTTGTAAACATGTTTATTTCTGCTGTAAAGTCGGACATTTTAACATATTAGCGTCGATGAGGATTGACTCACTTTTGGAGCCTCGAGTGGCCGTTTGAGGAACTGCAGCCAAAGCAAACGAGCTAAAACAGCTTGTTGCTAAACCAGACAACCTTGGTGGTCCATTAAAGATCAATCTGACACCTGAGGCTGTAGATTAATCTTTACCACTTTGTGTGTCTATATAGATTTTTCGATTGTTAGTTAATAATTAAATAAACAACTATGTGTTTTAACCGACCGGTATCGGCTTGAAACTACGCTAATTTTCTAATAAAGGATTGGCAGCATTATAAATTAATCGCCACAAATTCTGCGCATTTGTCTGTTTTTGTTAACGGACACATGATCGATCTAAGATTGTCTCAAACATGTTAGCGCTGATGTCATTAACGAAGTCTTTGTCATGGTGCCCGTTGCTAGCTAAACCACCACAGTGCTCTCCAACGTGAACTTCCTGTAGTCTGAGTGACGCCTCCTCTGGTCTCTACAGCGTCAAACAGGGAGAGGCTCCACCTGGTGGAACAACCAGGTACTACAGCTGGTCTGCGATACGTTTTCTGACATGCATGTAGAGAAAACAGGAGCTTGTAGAGCCTCAGTACATCCTACCTTCCAACACTACGTTCAGACAGATTCCTATTGGAGCTTTACAACAAGGTACAGAACATTAATGAACAGCTTGGATGCAGAAATGCAGTTGTCAAGCATGTACATTGGGTTGATTTGAATAACTTTAATGTACTTGAAGCGAGTATTTTGTGGGAAAATGGTGTTGAATTGGTACTCCGTAGCTGCAAATGCCAAATATTAAACAAATCAGACCAGATCGGGGGCGAAGACTTGATCAGAACGTCTCTATTAGAAGGACAATGACTGAAGCTCACTTGATTTAGATGTTTGTTTTCTAAACGCGAGGATGAAACACCTTGGCGCCGAGTCGCGTCGAATGATTGAGACCAGCTGCTTCGCTCGCAGCGCCTTCGACATCAAACGAGAGCAGATCTGATAGTTCACTTACGGGCTTGGAGGCGTCTCTCTCGACCTTGGCCTCCGTCTCCCAGAGGTGGTGGCCGTCTAGAGAAAAGAAACACAAAAAGACAAACGACGGATCAGAACAACGATCCACCTACTTGGCTCCCAGCAGAAAAGTGAAGGAACGGAACGAGGGCTTGTTATTATTATCTGTTACATCAGCGACGCATGAAGCGGCCGGAGGGAATTGAAGGCATCGCAAACGTCATGACCCGCCACTCATGAGCTCATATCCCCCAGTCTAACAACCCTGAGACAGAAATCTGATGCAATCCTGCAAAAAAAAAAAAACTCGAGTCATACCAAAGAGATGAGCGACATCTTCGGTGGATGAGAGAAACCTTGACTTCATCGAGGAATCCCAGCAAGCTGCAGCAGCTGGTTGGCTCATTATTACTGGAAACTGACAGCTCGACTCCACTTTCTTACTCCTCGTGTTCTCACAGGAATCTCTCCATATAATGATTGTTAAACGCCATTGGTATTTTTCTTCTTTTTCTGGTTAATGTGCTTTTTTTTTTTTCCCCTCTTCTCGGCCGCCACATTAAAGAGGTTTTCCCATCAGGCAGTAAAAGGCGGCATCATGCGAGCTGCTGGGAACACTGGAAAGCGTAGGAACCGAGTTTGATTTGTCATTTCGCCCAATGAGGTGCGAGTAAAACTGTATTTTTTAACCAATTTATTAGGCACAGAGGGAAACCAGCGCTGTATCTTTAGCCCCCTGACTCATTAACAAGGCCCTAAAAGACATTGAAGTGCTGTGAAAACGGCTTAACGTGGAAAGCGAGCTGCGCTTTAAAGGGAAGAAAAAAAAAAAAGAAAAGGAGGTCAGCTGTGGCCACGTTTGCTTGAAGGAAACGAGATGTGCGCGGCGTTGCTCAACCGGTTTGATAAGTGGAGTGTCTGAAGCGTGCAGACGGACTCGGACGGGAGTTGCGAGGTGGCAGAGATGGACGAGGTGCTGCTTGGCGCTGACGCTTCCTATTATGTCCGAGGAGACGTCGGAGAGCTGTTTACCTCCACACGCTCTGTTTTCATCTCACTTAAGAGATTCTCCACATGCTTGGCGCTCGACGCTTCGAGTGCTGCTCTCCAGGATGAAGTGCTTTCATTTGTATCAGCGAAATGCACTTTAAAAAAGACAAATCTGTAAATAAACAGTGAAAATCTGGCAGCGGGGTGCTCTCAGAACACTCAGAAATGATATTAACGCAGTAAAACAGGATAAATTTATGGTTGCACACTGAAAAAGAATAAATCACTTAATTTTTTTTACAGTTAACATTTAAATTATTGTTTCTGTAATCTGTAAAATATTAATTTTTCAAAAAGTATTACATATTTTTTTCTTTGAAATAATTAAAAATATCTGAATAATAACTATATATATATATTTTTTTTTAAATTTTAATTTTACTTATAAAAATAGATTTGTAGACATTATTTACTGTTTTGTTCATTTTGGGGGAGGATTTTCCAAGATCTAAGCTGTAATTTAACAAATCATGGAAAATCTGTAAATTAACTGTTTAAAAAATATGTACCATTTTTCCAATCCTTATTATTATACACAATTTATTTTTCAAATAATTGCAAATTTAAATTTCTGATTTAATTACAGTAAAGTATGATTTTACTGGATGTTCTCTGCAATTTATCAAAACAGGTAAAATAACAGTTAAAATCATTATTATTGTTTAAATTCTTATTATACTTCAGTTTTCTTTTAAATAAAAAAGGCAAATATTTGTAAAATGGCATTATTTTTGGCTGATTTAAAAACAATAAAAAATAATGTAATTTTATAGTTAAATACTGTAAAAGAGTTATTTACCATTTGGAAAAATAGATTTTTAATTAAGACAATATTTACAGTTTTGGTTAGTTTCTCTTGTTTTACAGTCAGCATAGAAATTAATACTTATTTTCTGTGTTTTTACTGTGATAAGAAATTACAAATAGTTTATTAAAACAAAGAAATTTGAATTTTAGAAATATTTAATATTTCTCAAAATATATTTTACATAATGTTCTTTTTTAAAAAAGTAAAATATCTATAAACTAACACTATTTTTTGGTGATTTAAATGCTTTTAAAAATAGAATAATTTTACACTTACTTAATTTTTTGTAAAAATAAAGACTTCTGATGTGGGCATCACTTACAGTTCTGGCCTCTTCAATGTTTACAGTAAAATTAATCATTTTTCTCCTGTAATTTTACTAAATATTATCTGTAATTTAAAAGAAAATTCTGTAAAATAACAATAAATAGTTAAAATATTATCACTAAAAACTGTATTTTCAACAGTGCAGAGCAAAGACATAAAGAAAAGCAACGATGAAGCTCTGACATGAAGCTGATAACTTCAAACCTGAGCCGTCAGGTCTGAAGTCATGTTTCCAAACTCACAATCGAGACGTTCTGTCAAATGTTTTGGTGAAAACACGACCTCGGACCGACCTGAAGTCTGTCAGACGTCCAGTAGCACCTGCTGCACATCAGACTGTTGAGCTGAGACTCACAATTAAGCCTAAAATTATTCATACGCAGGCCAAATTTTGATTTGTAATGATTTTTTAATCTAGTTTTAATCTGTGGAAAGTGAGCAGGAAGCCTTCCAGACCTGCGAGACGAGCAGAGGAACGAGATCCAGGGGAGACGTGCACAAAGCTTGTTAGCAATTATGAGAACTGTTTGATTGATGTGGTGGAAAATAAAGATTTACTGAGAAAACGGATGAATCATTTTGGACAAGGCATTGTGTAAGAGCTGTTTTCTTTATGTCGTCTTTAGCCAGAAGCGGCCTGTCGGATGAATACAAATTTACTACAAATCAGC